GCGGAGCCTGGAGGTGCGGAGCCTGGGGGTGCTGAGCCTGGAGGTGCGGAGCCTGGGGGTGCTGAGCCTGGGGGTGCGGAGCCTGGAGGTGCGGAGCCTGGGGGTGCTGAGCCTGGAGGTGCGGAGCCTGGAGGTGCGGAGTCTGGGGGTGCTGAGTCTGGACGTGCTGAGTCTGGGGGTGCTGAGTCTGGGGGTACTCCACCTGGAGGAGCCCTCTCCTCCCAGCAGCTGCAGGAGAGGTACCTCGAGTACTGCCGCCTCCGGAGAGGTGCTTCTGGAGCTCGTCCCGGTACTTCCCCTCCTACCCAGGAGCTCCCCCCCATTCAGGTGATCCGCGAGTGGTACACGCGGCGCTGCAGTCTTCGTAGTGGTGCTCCTGGTGCTGCGGACCCGAGCGGTGGTGCTGTTGCTGGTGCTGAGGACCCGGACGCTGGAGCTGCTGCTGGTGTTGAGGACCCGACCGGTGGCGCTGCTGCTGGTGCTGAGGACCTGACCAGTGGCCCTGCTGCTGGTGCTGAGGACCCGGGCGTTGGAGCTGCTGCTGGTGCTGAGGACCCGACCGGTGGTGCTGCTGCTGGTGCTGAGGACTCGGGCGTTGGAGCTCCTGCTGGTGCTGAGGACCCGGACGTTGGAGCTGCTGCTGGTGCTGAGGACTCGGGCGTTGGGGCTGCCACTGGTGTCCCTGCTGTTTCTGGAGACGCTGCGCGGCCGCGACCGTACTTCGTACCGCTCCTTCAGCAGGTTCTTGGTCAGGCTCCTCCTCTTAGTCCTCCTCCCTCCGTAGCGTGTCCTCCGCCTGTCCAGCCGCAGTCACAGTTACCGCCTGTCTCGCCTCTCCCTGCTCCCTCCCCTTACACTGGTCCCACAGGAGGTCTTACAGAGCGTCGTGAGCCTGAGTCTCGTCCTGCGTCACCTGTTCGTACTGCTCGCACTGGTCGTCGTGTCCCACGTGAGCGTCCTCCTCCTGTCCCTGGCACTCACTACATGACTCTACGTCCCTCCACTGCTCCGCAGCGTGTCCCGCTGCCGTCTCCTCCTGCGTCCTCTCTTCCTACTCTTCCTGACCCGGAGTCTGACTCCCGTCGTGCTGCCAGTCCCACTGTCACGCGTCTCCTTGCTACAGTTGTCACTGACCCGACCTTTGAGTCCTCTGCTGCGTCTGCCCTGGTCGCTGAGTTGGTTGACTTTGCTGCTCGCTGTCGCCTAGACTACGCTGCCAGCCTTGTCGCTAGGTCTGAGTCTGCGTCTGCCTGTCCTCCGTCCGTCGGGGGTGAGTGTGCCCTCGGCACGGACGTCCTTGAGGACAGACAGGAGGAGTTCCACTGCCTTGCTGCTGCTTTGCCCCGTCTCGTGTCCTTGCTAGTTGCCCCTGAGGGAGACCCGGATGCACCAGACATCCCGACCCCACGCTCTTACGCTGAGGCGATGGCGGGTCCCTACTCCTCTCAGTGGCAGACAGCCATGGACGCAGAGATGGCCTGGATGACGTACGTGCAAGTGTACCCACGCTGCGCGTACCACTCACGGGCGGCCTGGAGGGTCGGGGCGTGCTGCTGACTCTGGCCACCTCCAGCGTCTCCACGGCCACCACCGCCACCGCCACCGCCACCGCCTCGGCCACCTCCACCCCTGCCACGGCCACGACCGCCACCGCCGCCGCTGCCACCTCCGCCTCTGCCACCACCCCCGCCGCCGCTGTCACCACCCCCACTGCCGCCACTAGCCTCTCCAGACCCACCGCCACCTCCACTGTCTCCACCCCCGCCTCCCCCGCCTCCACCCCCACCCTTGCCCCCCCTGCTCTTGCGGCGCCCGCTCGAAGCAGACGCAGCCCCGACCTTCTCAGCACCAAGGAGGTCGACAGCAGCAGCAGTGGCGACAGAGGGGAGAAGGGGGGAAGGGGAACACCCCTCGAAGAAGGGGGTGCGGGGCTCGCCACGAGAGGCACCTACGGCGACGATGCTCGCCTCAGCTGCAAGTAGGTCCTTCTCGAGGAGGGCAATGGTGAGTTCAGTAGGGGAGCGAGCTAGAAAGGAGTCCCTGACTGTGCGCAGAGAGTCAGGGAGGCGGGTGACGATGTGGTAGAGGGTGAGCCAGAGCGGGGGGGGGTTGCTAGCAAGGAACTCGGCAGGCATAGCAGCGCGAAAACGGGCCTCACTAGTCTTGAGGTGGGTGATGAGATCAGCGACAGTGTGAAAGGAGGCCAGGTCGGGGAACAGGTAGGGCAGGGAGAGGCGGCCTAGGGTGGCAGACGCAGGCGAGGAGTAGCGAGCAACTACGGCTGTGTACAGTTCCTTAGCAGTCTTGCACTGGCCGAAGTGCTCGCGCTCATCTAGCGGCAGGGAGTTGCGGATAGCAAAGCGAGCGTGTGCGTCGCGGGTCTGCCACTGGGAGCGCAGTGTGCTAGCAGCAGAGGAGTCAGGGGCAGTAGCATGGCCTAGGGCGTGGTCGTACAGTGAAATGTCTTCCTTGGCAGTGAGCTGTAGGAAAAGGTGCAGATCATCGAGCCAGGTGTCAAATTTCACTGGGCGGCCCTCAGCGTCGAAGGCTAGAACAGGAGCAGTAGCCATGGTAGCAGGAGGAGGAAAAGTAAGTAATAAACGTGGCAGTGACAGTAGCAGCAGGGCAAGGCAGGGCCGGGGCAGTCGCGACAGCGGCGGCAGTTGCTGCAGGTTCGGCTAGAGTAGGGACTGCAGGGCCGGCGGCGGCCGATGGAGTAGACTCGGCGGTTGCGGCTGCTGCAGGATCGGCGGCGGCTGCTGCTGCTGGGTCGGCGGCGGCTGCTGCTGCAGAGGCAGCGGCGGCTGATGCTGCTGTAGCTGCGGCGGCCGCTGCTGTAGATTGCGGCGGCTGCTGCTGCCGTAGATGCGGCGGCGGCCGCTGCTGTAGATTGCGGCGGCTGCTGCTGCCGTAGATGCGGCGGCGGCCGCTGCTGTAGATGATGCGGCAGCTGCTGCTGCTGTAGATGCAGCGGCGGCTGCTGCAGAAGATGCGGCGGCTGCTGCTGCTGTAGATGCAGCGGCGGCTGCTGCAGAAGATGCGGCGGCTGCTGCTGCTGTAGATGCAGCGGCGGCTGCTGCAGAAGACGCGCCGGCTGCTGCTGCTGTAGCTGCAGCGGCGGCTGCTGCAGTAGATGCGGCGGCTGCAGCTGCTGTAGATGCAGCGGCGGCCGCGGCAGGAGAGGCGGCGGCGGCTGCTGCAGCAGTTGCGACGGCCGCGACTGCAGTCTCTGCCGCGGCTGTTGCTGCAGGCCCGACCGCGGCGACGAAGGCGCGGGGGGTCGAGCGCAGCACACAAGGCGCGCGGGCAGCGCGACGGGCCGCGCGCGAAGAAAAAAAAAGAACCACGCGCGCTGGCGGCTAGCTAGGCGCGCGTGAAAAATGGCCGCGCACGGGCTGCTGGCTGGTCGCGCGCACGAAATAGGCCGCGCGCGGGCGGCTAGCAGATCGCGCGCGGTAAAAAAAAGATGGCGCACTAGGGGCGCAATAGGAGGCGCACTAGGGGCGCAATAGGAGGCGCACTAGGGGCGCTTGATAGGTATGTAGGTAGGTAGGTAGGTAGGTGGGCCCTTAAGAACGGTCCTAGGGAAGGACCTGCTCTGAAACCATGTCAAGATTACGAGACTGGAATGATTGAACTAACAGAGAGATCAGTACAAATAGCAAACCCTAGAATTGTGTACCCCATATAGGCTAACCCACTGTAGCCTAACAAACCCAACATATATAATGTTTGACACAAGCGACTGCCAGGCAGCAGTACCAGCACAGTTTCAACCTCACAGAATTGTTCATGCGAGTCAGCCCTCAGCACGCCCAGGAATGAAGGGGGGAGTTGAGATATGAACTTTTATGAGAAGGCATTCCTGCACGCTACAGGGGCCACCTCTAACGAGTACAACGATGAGGAGTAAGAAGAATGGAAGCGACACTAGCAACTGTGAGGTCAAGACTGGTGTAGGCAAAATCATTTGAAGTGAAAAGAGCAGGAACATGTTTGAAACTGGTTCCCGTGCCGCACGGTTTGAAATTCGCTGCAATAAAGGGAATGTACCCCTTAGAGTACATGGCTAGCTAGGACGTTTCGTCTTCCTCTATGTTTCCTATATAAACTCGTTGTATGCATGTTATTATCATCTCAGTCATTTTACATTCACTCTGACCTGAGGTCAAATAAAACTTCCGCTGCAACATCACCTGCAAACAACCCTGAGCCGATCCTTGGCTAAGACCTGCTTAGGATTGTAACAATGTGGAAGTTTAAGGGGGGGTTGGTGGTGAGGAATGTGGAAAGGTAAATGGATAGTAAGATTAAATATGGGGAAAAAGGGTTGGTTCCAAGATAGACATGTAAAACAATCGGATGAGGCCATATGGACACTCGATGAAATACGGTTAGACCCAAATGCAGCACTCTTGGTGGTCATGCTAAATTGACTTCGGAAGACCCATCGATTCGGTGCCACATGGCAGCACCAGGAACATTCGAGACCTAAGAAGAATTCGGATCGGTGAAATTCGAGGGTCGAATTTCACCCCTTCGAAATGTTACTCGAACATTCGCGAAGTGTAGCGATGCGATGTTACGAACGCGGTTCGATGTTGATTGCATGCTATAAAACTAGTTGCTTTGTATTGCATGGATAATAGTGAACATTGTGAATCACTTTGTGTGAAATGCATTCAACAACAAATTCCAGAGAGCTCCTAGCCTACGTTCCAAGAGCACTACCTAGCACATAAACGCCTATTTCTCACTCGATACTAAGGGAATCGAGGTGATCTACGGCTCGTTGGAAAGCTAGCAGAGTGCTCTACTGCTGAGAACAATTCCAAGTTCCTGCCAACTAGAGGACACGCCTCTACAACAGTGGTATCAGAGCTGGTCGGAGGAGTCTACGCGCGCGACGAGTAGCTATCATGGTGACGTCAAGTGTGGCCTCCCGCACTTCTTTGGATGGTGTCGTTGTAAATTCCAGCAAACCCTGGGCAGCCGCGACGATGTACGACACGTCGGCGGTACCGATTTTCACGGGACAAAACTACTCCGCGTGGAAGTTTAAGTTCCAAGTGCTCATGATGGAGCGGGGACTTTGGGGGCTCTTTGATGGAACGGAGAAAAAGCCGACGAGTAACGAGAGCGACATCGCAACATGGAAGAAGAAGGACCAAAAAGCGTTCGCTCCGCTAATCTCGCGGATCGGCATCAACCTCGTGAGCTCGGTGCGCACGTGCATCAAGCTCGAAGCGTCGGCGCATGAAGCGTGGAAGCGGCTCGAGACGACTCACCGGTGGTTGGAGTTGGGAGTACACGCCTCATCGTCGATAGCGGACCGGTAGACGTCACAAACGTGCTTCACGTCCCGGGGGTGAAGGTGAACCTTCTATCCGTCCCGCAACTTGCGAAGAAAGGCGTGATCGCCACCATCGACGGTGCGAACATGAACCTCTTTTGGAAGGGGAAGCAATTCGCACAAGGCGTTCTCAACGGAGAACTCTACCAACTCAAGACGCACCCAAGAGCGGCTTCATCCAACGTGGCGCAAGGGTCCAAGCCAACTCTCAAGGCGTGGCATAATTGGCTTGCGCACGCTAACTACGAGTCGGTCAAGGAGCTCAACAAAGGACTCGCGAGAGGAGTCGACGTGATCACCGGCGACGACGAGAAGGGCGTGTGCGCGGCGTGTGTCGAAGGAAAAATGGCTCGCAAGCCATTTGGTAGCCGTACCTCACCTCTCGCTAAGGACCCGCTTGCGCTCGTTCACATGGACGTGTGTGGACCGATGCGGCATGCCTCAAAGGGAGGAGCGCGGGTTCTCTTGGTGATGCTCGACGACGCGACGCGGATGTGTTGGACCCGACTCTTGAAGGCTAAGAGTGATGCGGCTAAGGCGATTCAAGAGTGGGAGCACGAAGTTTGCGACGACGACAAGAAGCGGATCAAGGGCATTAAGCACGACATTACAACGCCCTACACACCCCAACAAAATGGAGCGGCGGAGCGGCTTAATCGCACGTTGGTGGAAGCCGTTCGTTCACTACTTCAACACTCCAAGCCTGGGAACGAGTGGTGGGGAGCGCTAGCGGCGTGGATTCGCAACCGTTTGCCGACCAAGGTGCTACCGGGAACGACTCCGTTCGAAGCATGGACCGGAACGAAGCCGAACCTATCCCGCCTACGCACCTTTGGGTGCCTTCGCTGCTACCATTTACCGGATCCCCTTCGCCACAAGTTGCAACCGAAGGCTCGTGCGGCAATCTACTTGGGAATTGTGGCGAACGAGCGTACGTGGCGAGTGCGGGACTTGGGTGAAAGGCGCGTTGTCACATCTCGGGATGTGGTCTTTGACGAAGACAAGTTCCCGACGAAGGAGAAACCATCTCAACAAGTCACCTTCATCCTTCCGGCACGAGAGGAGGTTGAAGAAAGTGAGGTTCCACCTCAAGTGGAGAAGGAAGCCGAAGATGGAGGGGGAGAGAACAACAAGGAGAGCGTTGATGATGTCGTGGAGGTGTCACCAACCGAGACGGCAACTACCTCCACACCTTCCTCCCTACCATTAGCCTTGGCTCGCGAGCGTCGCGAGGTTCGTCCTCACCCCCAAGTACAAAGACTACGCTACAGTAGCCGTTGGGGAGACGGATAAGGAGGGCGCGGCATTTTGCTTCGCGACAAAGGGTGATGACGAACACGCGGAATCTCTCATGGAACCACCCCCTAAAGATCCATCCCCTACGTGCTACGAGCATGATGGATTGCACGCCTAGTGGGTTGGGTGCAAGGGGGAGTGTTGGAGGTTGAGTGTGGTTGAAACAAGTGGTGGTGGGGTGGTTGTATGCCCCCAACCCACCGAACGTGTTACTTCTAGTGCTCACTTTCGAGTGAGTTGCAGGTTTGCGTGGGGTTGAAGGATTGACTTCGGAAGACTCATCGATTCGGTGCCACATGGCAGCACCAGGAACATTCGAGACCCAAGGAGAATTCGGATCGGTGAAATTCGAGGGTCGAATTTCACCCCTTCGGAATGTTCCTCGAACATTCGCGAAGTGTAGCGATGCGATGTTACGAACGCGGTTGATTGCATGCTATAAAACTAGTTGCTTTGTATTGCATGGATAATAGTGAACATTGTGAATCACTTTGTGTGAAGTGCATTCAACAACAAATTTCGGAGAGCTCCTAGCCTACGTTCCAAGAGCACTACCTAGCACATAAACGCCTATTTCTCTCTCTCCCTCCCTTTCTCTCTCTCTCTCTGAGGGAGAGAGAGAAGAAAGGGAGAGAGAGAGAGAGCGAGAGAGTAGAGAGAGAGAGCGAGAGCAGAGGGAGAGGAGAGAGAGAGCGCTGAGAGAGAGAGGGAGAGCGAGAGGGAGAGAGAGAGAGAGAAGATAAGAGAGAGAAAGGAGACGAGAGAGAGAGAGAGCGCGAGAGAGAGAGCGAGAGAGAGAGCTCTGCGATAGAGAGAGGGCGAGCGATAGAGCAGAGAGAGAGAGAGAGGGGGGAGAAGAGCTCGAGATAGAGCAGTCGAGAGATAGAGCAGAGAGAGGGAGCGCAGAGAAGTGATGAGAGAGAGAGAGACGATAGAGAGCTAGAGAGAGCTCTCGAGCTCTCTCTTCTCTTCGATAGATCGCGCTCGCTCGATTCGAGAGCTCGCTCTCTTCTCTCTCTCTCTCTCTCTCTCTCTCTCTCTCTCTCTTCTCTCTCTCTTCTCTCTCTCTCTTTCTCTCTCTCTCTCTCTCTCTCTCTCTCTCTCTCTCTCTCTCTCTCTCTCTCTCTCTCTCTCTCTCTCTCTCTCTCTCTCTCTCTCTCTCTCTCTCTCTCTCTCTCTCTCTCTCTCTCTCTCTCTCTCTCTCTCTCTCTCTCTCTCTCTCTCTCTCTCTCTCTCTCTTATCGACCTATCGTAACATGTTATCGTAGTCTGATTTCGTAATGCTTATGATTATGCCCACCTTAGACAATTCTAAAATACTAACTTAGAGGCCGAAGAAAAATAGATATCAGATTGCATCTAGCAACCTGCAAACGTGCAGATTGGCAATTGGCAAGGTGGTTTGAGCTAGGTTGGGTTGCAAGACAGTCAAAGTAAGAGCATGAAGATGAACTTGCAAGTCGAGAAAAGGTCGATATGTTTTATCTGTTGGAAACAGTAAATCTTAAGCGCCTCTGTCGTGTCGAAACATCGCACCAGAAGCGAAGCGAACTATATTGAGGCACACGCGAGTCAACCCTCGGAGGTTGAAAGAGGTTGCTGGAGGTTACGCGAAAGTCAAAGGTCAGCGACCTTTGACCTAACAAGTACAGCGCGACAGTAAGGACACACAACTGACTCGCTACAGAGCAGTTGCCCGAGTCGTGACTGTATCGAACCGCAACAGCAACAGTAAAGCAGTTATAACCGTATCCTTTCATATTCCTTGTACTCATATATAAATGCTTGTATCTCTTTGCTTTAATCAACTTACTTTGCCCTCACATACTAGCGCAAGGTGGTTCACAACTTCTTCATTAAACGCTTCCGCTATTACAATTGTCCTACCCCGAATTTACCCCTGCAAAGATCCTAAGGGCTTTTTCTCAGCCCAACATGGTATGAGAGCTATCAGGAGAAATTCGACTACTATCAAGTCATCAACAGACAACATGGCAACATACAAGGAAAGGAGTTCCTCTAATGGTTCTCCCGGGACTACTCCTACCCCACCTCCTGCCTCTGGACTACAAACAGAGGAAGGAACCGCAACGGGACCAGCAGCGCCTTCAGCCAGCCAGCCTGCCAGCTTCGACCAGAGTATGATGGAGAAGTTTTTCTCCTTCATGTCGTTTTACGAGCAACACCAGCAGTCGGCACCTGCGCAGTCAAACAACAGCAACAACAACAACGTGACTCCAATGAGTCTCGACGGCTCATCATATGCGCGCGGAAACCAGCAACAACCTACCTTTGCTCCGTATGAACGCGGGTCCATTAGCTTCATGCCGCACCCGCAAGCTCCACCTGGACAAGAAAAACCACTGGATGCACTGCAAGTTCAGTCGCAATTCGCACACGTCTTGAAGCTGCAGACGTCAAGGCCCTTCGACGGAAAAGACTTCTTTACCTGGTCGTTCGAGTTCGAACTCATGATGGAAGGCGCACAGATACTTGGCTTCTTCGACGGGTCTGTGCCATACCCAACAAACGGCACACAGTATGAGAAGCAGCAGTACACATATCAGTCGATGATGGCGTATACGATCCTACTGAGAAACATCACCCCAACTCAGCAGCAGAACATACGGTCTTACCGGGGATTCGGCAACTCCGCGGAACTCGCGTACAAGCACCTGAAGGACCTGTATCAAGCAACAGACAGCGTCAACCAAAGTCGGTTAATGGCGCAATTGACAACGGTCGAAATGAAACCAGGCGAGAAAGGAATGGCATATATCAGCCGATGTCGCGAACTGCGCGACAAGCTTCTTCGATGCGGAGGGTCAATCTCTGAAGACGCCTTCGTGACAGTCATCATCGGCGGCCTCGGTCCTCAATGGCGCGCAACAAAGGCCATCCTCCGAGCCCACGGAAGAATCTCCGAAGCAGCGCTCTGCGCCAAAATTCACTCCGAGCAGCAAGACATGGACCTACAAGAAGAACGACACAAGAGAAAGACATCAGTACCGGAATTCGCGTTTCACACTCAGCGACGGTACAACAACAACAGCAACCGACAACAACCAAAAATCGTACCTCCGTTCTGCCACATCTGCAAGACGTCAGGGCACCCACATACGCACTGCCCGAATCGACAATAGTCGACGCTTCCACAGCGACAACTTCGACCCTCAAGCAACCAAGTCGCCTCAACGCAAGCGAATCCCACGACTCAAATTCAAGCTTCAACGACCTCAACGGGACAACCTGCACAAGGAGCAAGGAACATCGTCAGTTGCATGGCAAGATTGACCGACTCCTGCGTCACTGAATCACCACCACATTACTCACCGGAAGAACAGCTCGACAACAGCACGCCCCGCCGCGAGTCACTGCAGCCGAACCCGACATACGCCGCCATCGCCCAGAGTGAGCCATCCGGGAAGGACACATGGTTCTTGGAAAATTGCTGCGGACAGCACATGTGTTCTTCAGGACGCTTCGTACAACGTGAATACCAACTCCTACGTGAAGTAGTCATCACCGTCGCCAACAACCAGAACCTGCACACACGACGGCAAGGCGTAGTTCAACTTCAGTCACGGGAGACAAACGTCATACTGCAAATGACGAAGGTCTTAATAGCCGAGGGACTCGGCTACTCAGCGTCAGCCAGCTGATGGCGAAAGGCATCCACCTTGAAGCAGA